TGTGTTTTTTGTTTTGTTTTGTTTTTATTTAGTATTTGTGCAGATGATGTGTGGCTTTTTTTTTGGTGGTTGTTTTTTTTGGTTCGGGGTTTTTTTTTAAAGCAAAGCAGAGACCCCATACTAACACATGTGGGTCTTTGGAGCCAAAGCAAATGGGAAGGGGTGGTGGGATGCGCTGTGCATGGAGCACAGAGCAGCTTTTATCGTAACCACGCCAGTTCCCTGGGAGCTGGGGCCGTGGGGCCGTCAGGTGTGGGGCTGTCCACGGATACGGTCCTGCTGCCCAGGGGTCAACATGTTTTAGCCTGGTCTTTCCATTCACGTGAGGGGCTGTGTAAGTGCTGGCGCTGCTGTGGCTCCTCAGCCTCGTGTGCGTTTTTAAGCAAACGCTGCTGTTTCCTGTGTCTTGTCAAATAATTGCATTTGGCATCCAGGGCTCCAGTGCTTCGAGGAGAACCAAATTAAAATTGGAGCTTATTGAGCAGAACATTTTGTTCCCGGGCGATGCGAGGGCTGCTTGCGGCCAAGCTCCCACGGCTGCGGTCACAGTGTGGCCCAGCATTGATCCCGGTGTTGAACCCGGTGCAATCCCTGCTGTGACTCCCGTGCCTTGCTGAGCAGCCCTTGCTCTCGTGAGCGTGGCATCACCAGCCTCGGCGTCTGTCCTAGGGTCTGAGATGGCAGAAGGGCTGTGCTGCAAGTGGGCCAGTGCCTGCAGCCCAGCTGTGGCCCTGGTGGCCTCCGTCAACCCTCTCCATTGTGCCCTGCCGAGACGATGGCCCCGCTCAAGCACCAGCATGGCATAGTGTAGGGATAGACTCACGGGTGCAGCTTGCAGTGGGCAGTGGTGAGATTTGGGGTGGTGGCTGGAAGCCACAGCTGACTCCAGGGGCTGTGCTGTGGGCTTCCTACAGAGCAGGGGGGTGTTTGGAGCTGTGGCTCTGGGTGTCCCTTGCCCTGTCTCTGCAGGCAGGAATGGACAGTGGGGCTCAGTGAGCTGTGGCACCTGGGTACAAGCACTGTGTGAGAGCTGAAACACACCAGGGTGTGCTCCCACTTCTGCTCCTCCTGTGCCTGGGATGTTGCAGCTTCCCTTGGGGAAGGTGGGATGAGTGTCCCTGGGATGAATCTCCCTGGGATGAACCTTTCCCGGTAACGCTGTTGGCAGTTTCCATCTCCTGGTGCTCACTGTCTCAGAGGGCCAGCAGCATGTGCTCACCCAACCACAAACCGCTTGCGTGGGGTGCGAGCCAATGGCTCTAGCAGATGTTGGTGATGCTCCGACCTGTGCTACAGCACTGGGCTTGTGGAAAGCTTCTTGCTCTGTGTTTCCTGCTGCATTGTGGCCCCGTCGCTGTCCCCACCAGCCTGGTGCTCCGCTGCCCCAAGTGGATGGGCCTCTTTGGGCTATTGCTGCCCTGCAAGCTCAGTAAACTTAAGTCTGTTTTATTTCTGAGTCATCATTTCCAGTGGCAATGGGTCAGGTACAAGGTGCTTGCAGGCGTTACTCTCCCCGTTCCTGTGTCGCTGGCAATGGCGATGTCCCTGTTGGGTGACAGCGGATGCCTGTGCTCTGTCCCAGCTCATTTTGCTTTCTGTAACACCTGATTGCTGCAGTCGGTGCAGGAGCAGGCGTTACGGCGATGTCCCTGTTGGGTGACAGCAGATGCCTGTGCTCAGCCCCAGCTCATTTTGCTTTCTGTAACACCCGATTGCTGCAGTCGGTGCAGGAGCAGGCGTTGGCCGAGAGCCGTGGGCGCAGTGTTGGTGGTTGCCGGTGCTGCAGTCCCTGTGTGTGGCTGTTGAGCCCCAGCGTCTTGCTGCGCGCTGCAGTGGTGTAGCTCTGCAGGGACAGTGGTGTAGCTCTGCAGGGACAGTGGTGTCAGCCCCTGCCTGCTGTGGCACCGTGAGCCTCTCTTGTCAGTCCTCGAGGGGGGCGCTGTGCTGTGGGTCTGGGGACACTGGGATTGCCCCCCCCAGACGGTGCGTGATGGGGGCGGGATGTGTGACCTTTCTGCGTGGTGCCCTCTGCCTCAGTTTCCCCTCACTCCCAGAGGCGCGGGGACGTGCCTGTCCCTGTGCTGTGCCCCTGTCCCTGCAGCAGGCTGTGATTCGAGTGGGGAGCAGCGATTAACACGTGCTATTAGCTCAGTGAGCCTGCCCCTTGTTTGATACCGTTCAGCGAGTACGACTGTTTACACAGCACATTGTTCAAAGTAATTCAATTTACAGGAATGATCTTTACTTCTAAATAAAAAATTAATACTGTTCTTTTGTTTGTGCGTTTATATAAACTAGCTGGCACGAAGTCAGTTTACAATGTTCCCATCTGAAGTAAATTAGTGAAGTCTCTTAGCTAAGTCTCTGTATAATTTCAGCTCAGAAATGTCCTCTCTAATGCAGCCCTTTTTTTTAATTTTTTTTTTTTTTATCAGCTATGGTCAGGATGAAAAGTTTAAACCTTTTCTCTTCCTCCCATATAGTTTTGCAATTGGTAACTCCAGCACAGGATGGTCTTTCTGCATCTCGCAGAGCCTGCAGAGTGGGGTTTGGGCATGGGCAGTGTTTGATGGCTGTGGTGGGATGACCAGGGTCTTCTATCTCCTGTCTGCAGTGGCCAGGGCTGCTCTGGCCAACCCCGACAGAGGGGTTTGTGGTGTGGTTGGCTCTTTTTGGTGCTTGTGCCTGTGCTCGGTGATACTGGAGCTGCTGGGGCTGGGGTGGCAGTGGCTTTGCTGCCTGGCTGCGGCGAGGGCTGGGTGGGAGCCCCCAGGGAGCTGTGGGTGCATGGGGAAGTGCAGCAGCGGCCATCAGGGCTGTGTCAGAGCCAGTACCAGCTCTGCGGTGACGGAGGAGATGCTCGCTTCTCCCCTGCTGCTCCTGCTGCTGCTCCTGCTCCTTGCATTTATTTTCTTTAGCAGCGGTAATACTAAAACGCAGAAGCCAAACCAAGGCCATGCCTGTGCTGTGAGCAGCACGTCCTGGCAGGCTGGGGGGCCACGTCTGCAGCTCCCCGGGAATCGCCCGCCCTTGGCTGGCTGTGTCCTGGCAAAAACGGGTTTTTTTGAAAGTGCATGCGAACGTCTCGTGCCTGGTGTGGGGTTCCTGGCCATCTCGTGGTCTCTTCCTTGCACTGAGCTACTTTCTAGTGTAGCTCACTCAAGTGCTATCATCGTCCCCTCACAGCGAGAAGACCTCTTTGTAGGAAGAAAGGCAGATGCGTGCGCCTTGTACGTGTGAGGAGAAAACACGTGTTTTGATTTATGGCAACGGCAAAGAACCGGCTCTGACACAGTTTCCATCCCAGTCTCACACTGGCTGTTATCAAAATAAAAAGCCCACGGGTTTGGAAGCTGATTCATGGTGCTGTGTGACCTCAGCCCCTCGGCACCGTCTG